ACATCAATACAGATTGATAAACAAATACAACTATTTTTTTTCATTTGTAAAAAGAAAGTTATGAGCTCAGGCTCTAGAATTGTGTGGGACAGATTTTGCCTCCATTAGCTGTGTGAACTTAGGTTTCTTTGTGCTTCAATGTCCTCATTTATTTTTAAAAAGGAAATTATCTGCTTTATTGAAATGTTGTATTAAATGCATTTATTGTTTTAAGGATTATTCTTGACACTTCGATCTGCTCAATAAATTTTAATCAATCTTCTCATCCTTCTTTTTTACATTGTTGCTTTTGTTAAGGCAAAAGTTTAGAACTCTCTAAGCATTTTAAAATTTAGTAAAGTCTGTCATTTGATAACTATCTTTTCTTCATATTGAAACTTGGTAAGGGGATAGAATAAGCTCTGTCTAGAGATATAAAACAAAAACTAGAATGTGTTTAGCAAAAATTATCCAATGTTACTACTTCAAGTCATTACCAGAAAAATCTGCCCAAATTAGTAACGAGCTTTAACTCAAAGGTTTTCTTCTTTTTTTCTTTCAAATTATAAAGAGAAAACCATCAAAATTAGCTAAGCAAAGCACTACCTACTAGGATATTTGGGGGAATATTTTTTGTGGGCGGAAATTTTTTTAAAGAAAAAGAAAAACATCTTTTGTAATATTTGTATCTGTAGCATACAAGTCGAGGGAAGGGCTTCCAAATCTCTTTAAAAAACTATATCCTCTTAAGGTGTTTAAAAAATTCTTAGACTGTGTTGTAAACACCACTAGTTAGCTCAAAAGAGGTACTTCCCTTTCCAAATTTAAAAAAAAATCGAAGTAGGAATGCCTCTGTTCAAATCCTGTATTCCAATCTTACGGAATACATATCAATTAATTACAACTCCAAACGATTACACACTAGTGAAAAATACAAAGGGAAAGCAAATGAAAGAACATAATTGATCCCCAAATAATGCCAGCAGCAGCTGTGGTCATACTAATAATCATGACATAATATTTGATCCTTAAAAATGCCAATATGGCTTCTTAACTCCATTAGCAACAGAGAAAGAGAAAGAGAAAGAGAGATAGAGAGACATATATATACAAAAGCCCAGAGAGGACAACTGGCTTGCCCAGGTCTATAGAAATGTTCTCTGCATATCTGGGGGCAAAATTTACGTCTTATCACTTCTAGTCCATTCTGCTGTCCTATACCACTGACAGTGTCTAATGGAAGTCGCATTCCCAAAATTTGCCTGGGGTCATTTGTTTAGAATTCAGAATGCATTTTCTAAGATTGAAAAACATGTTTTGAAAGATCATTGGCTTTCCTCTCATAGATACACATTTCTATACTTAATGCTACAGACCCTATTTTATGTATATAATATGTTTCTAAAGGGGAAAAACAAGAAAAACACTTAGAACTATTATTTGGATGCACGGGAAACATTTTCCCACCCTGCAGCCTGGCTGCTTCAGACCAGAATTGACCTTCAAACCTGGTTCCGTGAAAATATAATCCAATCTTAACACTAGCTTTCTTGTATCTGGCTCTGAAAGAAAGCAGAGCAGTGTTTTTTAAGCACTATTAGAGGGGCAGGGATAAGTGTAGGAGACAGTGGAGGTCTAAAGGTGGGGCATTGATTGCGGTCTTCTCTGAATGCAGACAATGGAGGGGTATATTTAAAGAGAATTTAGAAAACAATCATTAAATGAACTAAATGGCCTAGGCAATCTACTTTCTACCAGCACTATGATCTGGAAACTCTAAATAACATCAGTGATAAAGGACTACTCCCTAAAAAATATTTTGTTAGTCTATATTTTAAACAATTAATGTGGTTACTATTAAGATTTAGTGTATATTAAATTCACAGATTTTTATTGCTTATCTTATAACAGACACCACATGAGCTCCAGATACACACAAACTCAGCAACAAGTTTTTGTGTCATTAGTAAGTTCATAACAGTTCCAAATACTTTGAGCTCACTAAGGGCACAGTTCATGCATTTAAGCCCAGTGGTATTACATCTTTTTTTAAAAAATGTAAACATTAGATTATAAATTAACAATGATAGCACGGTGATTATAAATATGAAGAAATAGAATCGGAATTAATTTAATTCTGTCATTTTTCATGACTATTAGAAGTTTTTATGTTTAACACAGTGAAACGGAGTGCAGCCCAGAAAGTCTGACCATTTCATTTGGTCAGTCCCAATGGTCCAACTTGGTAACTGGCTACATCACGCATTCCATTTGGGCTGCCTTCCTTTCCCTCTTTCTTTTACCCACTCCCTTAACCTCCTTTGCCTCCCTAAGAAACTATTTGCTCTCAAATCCATGTCTCCAAATCTGCTTTTGAGCGAGTCCAAGCTGAAACACACCACAATGATCATACAATGAATCCTACATTGGTGGCTAGTATTCCTGGCAGAAGAGCAGGTATCTCTAGATTTTCTCTTCCTTATTTTGTTCCCTGGATTTCCTCATACCACATCTTAGGGAGAAGATATAGACGGAGCCAGCATGCATGTAGCAGTTGTTTAGTGCAGGTAAGATTGCATTCACATTTATCAATATCTAGAGGAAATCCTAGACATGGTGAGCCTCCCAACACTGTTCAAGTTACAAATAATAGAAGCTGAATCTGAAGATCAAAAATGGTGGACAAAGGGGGTCAAACAGCATCTATTTATCTGTCTTTTCTTCTTCCTTTGCTACCATTAGACCTGACATAACTTGCTGGTACAAGTCTAAGTAGAGCTCTAAAATGAGCATTAGGCCAGGATTCTGGAGTGGGTTCTTTTCAGAACAGAAAAAGATCTCTGATGCAGGAAGGAAAATACAGGGAAAAGGAAACTCGAGGAGCAGCTTAGAAAGAAGGCAAGTGGCTGTGGTCCACTGAGTAGGCGTAAGGTTCAGAGAGAACACTCTTACAAGGGAATTCAAGTAAACGGTGATAGTCACATTTCACCTCCTTAAACTCTTGGATAAGATTCTTATAATAGTTCTCAGCTCTGCCTGCAAAACACTGAAGTTTTATTTATTTTTTCTCCAAAAACTACAGCTTCCCATGACTCGGATATAATAATCAGAATCCCTGGGCATAGCGCCTGGGTACACACATTTTTAAAGCTCTGGGGTAATTTTGACACACAAAGTAGAGATAAGGACCTAGAAGCAGAATAGGAAAAATGTTGCCCTAATTTGACAAGTAATTCCTTCTTTGTTTCTTAATCAGATGTTTCTAATAAGAATTCAAGAAGAAAAACTCCCTATTTATTTATTTATTTGTTTGTTTGTTTGTTTGTTTGAGACAGGGTCTCACTGTCAGCCAAGCTGGAGTGCAGTGGCACGATCATGGCTCATTATAGCCTCAACCTCCTAGGCTCAAGAGATCCTCTCACCTCAGCCTGCTGAGCAGCTGCAACTATAGGCATATGCCATCATGCCCAGCTAACACTTTTTTTTTTTGTAATTTTTTTGTGGAGATTGGGGTCTCCTTTTGTTGCCCAGGCTGGTCTCAAATTCCTGGTCTCAAGTGATTCTCCTACCCCAGCTGCCAAAGTGTTGAGATTACAGGTGTAAACCACCACACCCTGCCGAAATTCTTGATAAATAAACTCTAGTCTCAAAATTGATGCCTCCTCAAAAGGAATGTGTTTCTCAGTCACTATGTGGAATGGGCAAGGATTCTTGAGAAATAAATGGAATGCCAATGATGTTTATACTCTCCCAAATATCTTACATTCAAGATGAAACGTATTTGCATGAATAAACACATGGAAAACCTGCAAGGTATAGATTCTGCCTTAAGGCCAGGTACCTTTCTGTGTTTCTTAGTACCTGAACTCTTACTGCAACTAATGTTTTTTGCAGGAGGAAGGTATGTGCTGAAGGAATTGTTCTCCATCTGCTATTACTCCTTAGAGTCTTGAAGTCAATACTTGAATATTACCAGTGCAGCACAATGGCTGGTCAATGACTCAACATACAGCTGCAATATTAACTCAGGGCATGATTCACAAATGATTCTTCTTCTATTATAGTTGCTGACAGAGTCCTGGCAACGAACCCAGTCTTTTAGAGAAAAGTTGATTTTGGCAATGAATCCAGTCTTTAGAGAAAAGCTGATAGTTGATTGAGAGTGTGTGCGTGTGTGTGTGTGTGGGGTGTGTGTGTGTGTACACAGATGGGGGGGCATATATGTATATACGCACACATACAGAGCAGCAAAATGGAACCACAATATATGAGCATATTGGGAGAGAATTTTGTCCTGGCTTGTCAGTATTCCAGTATTTTCCTTCCTGCTATGGGAATTAGTGTTGAAGTCAGACAGATCTGGGTTCAAATCATGGTTCTGTAACTTAATTGGTTATGTTCCATGCCTTCTCTGAGCCTCAAACAATTGAAAAGAATAACATTTTTAAGTTACTGCAAAGTTGTTGGAAAGAGTAAATAAAAAGAGTAGATTTAGAAATCACATCTGAATGGCTGCACACAATAAACATTTTCTTAAGTTTAATTGTCCAGTCCCATAGATTTAGCCCAAATGACATTATTTTTTCATAAAAATCAAAATAGAGGGGTTTTAACCAAAGGTGCTTAGAGTCATGCAACAACACATTTTTCAACAGTACTACGGACACAGTTTTAGAAAATGTCACTTAGAGGCGAATGCATGGAAATATATAAACTAGAAATCGTATAAATGCAAAACATATTTTAGGACTATATTTCATTTTATCTCCTAATGTTTAAAAACACACACACCCCCCCACACACACACACACCCCCCATGGCCTTCAAGCCCTGGAAACCACCTCTTGTCCCTATATAAATGACACTTTGCTTGTCATTTTTATTTTTTAATGGTTAATGATTTCCATGTAATAATTGCCAGTTTTCCTCTACCCCTTTGTCCCCTGCTGCAAAAGATCTAATCTATTCAGAGGAAGATAATTGCAGAGCTGTTGAAACAAAAAGAAATCGCTGCATCTCACCACTGTTGTGCGCCTCCAGCTGCGAGGCGGAGTTGACAGCAACCTTGCATAGCGAACAGTAAAGAAGCCGTTTTGCCTTTTCTTCCTCGGTCTCAGTAGAAGGACATGAGCTATTGCCAGTGGCTGTCGTTGGGCTTTTTTCCACTTTAGAGGTGATCTCAGTTGTCATAACACTGCTTTTGCGGATTTCCACAGTTGTCGTCGTTGATATTGCTGGTGTCCCTGCAGTACCATCTGTATTCGAAAAACACAGAGAAAAGGGGGAAAAACAGTGATATTATCATTCCCTATTCAGGAATGTATCACGAATATTGCATTCTGCTTTTAATGATAAGAGCAGCTAGCAATTGCTGTTTGTCAAGGACGCATCAATCACCTCATAAAAAAATTTACACAGATGACCATATTTAATTTCATGTATTAAAATAACACTCTCAGATGATTCTTGAACATCAACATAAATACAAGTTTAAAATATTCCATGGGGTAAACATCCACAAATTTCTCTTGTTAACACATAGCCTTAGTACAACAATATTTATAATATATTGCAGTCTCTCAATGCATATTTCTAAATGGCTTTTTCTAGATTTTTAAACAATTAAAATAGAAGATAAATGCTTTTAAGATACTTTGAATTTCTTTACTACTTGTCTATTTTGCTTCTTTCTTTCATTCTTTCTTTTTTAATTAAAAAACAGGTACAGATCCTTTTGCACTATTTATCCAAAAAGAAAAAGAAAAAGAGAAATTGGAGGCCTGATGCCATAATTGCTTTGACCAGATCAACAGTTCAGAAAATCATTGCTCTACTTACAAAGAGTTACAATTCAACCCAAGGTACAAAAATCATCAACATCAAAAGAAGAAGAATTCTAGTCTGGCGTATCTATTAAATACATGCCCTGTACCAAGCTGTACGCAGGGAGTTTGTGGCAAAAATATTCAGACATCAGTAGCCACTATTCACAAGGAATTCACAGGATGGCCACACCATGCTGTTGTCACATTGTTCTAAGAGTTAAATGATCACGAAAATGTTGAGACACTGTCACTCTACAACCCTTCTGGCTCTAAAGTCTGATGCTAAATCTGGAGAGATCGATCTCCAAAGTAAAACTACCCTGTCTTAACTTTATTCGGGTATGCACAGCTCCCCTTCCAAATATGCCAGTCACTGTTATGTTAGCAATGTTTGCCATACCCAATAACAAATTGCAAATAAGCTCTACACTCATATCCTATCTACCCATATACTACTTTTTTGCCTCTCAGCTGGTTCTTAACTTCCTCTCCAAAATATTCCTAGGCTGCCTCTCCAGCTACATCTGCTATTGAAACTGTCTCTCATTCCGTATACTGCTATGGTCACTATCTAATGCTACGTTGAAAAGTTCATGATAAAGAGACTTGGCAAGGATATAAGGACCAATGGTCTGTCTGCAATTAAGTGTTGTCTGCATAAACGCTTACTTCTTGTTAGTTCATTACTATCAAGAGTTGACTGCAGCTACAGAATGACTGTTAACTGGGATATCCCCTTTCTTCCAGGCATCGGGGTGAAAATATAGGTGAGGTTTTTTATTGCTTTTCTAAATAGGGCATCAGAAACACTAGTCAATAAAAAGAGAAATGAATCCTTGTTTAAGGGCTGTTGTATAAAAAAATTCATCTGGATCTTATTTTCTTTGCCTGACACTTCACACACTTTCAATCACTTATTTACCTGCTAAGATCATCAAGTAAGTCTCTTTCAGTGTCATAAAGAACATTCACCAACCAAGTGTTCAAAATCATGCTGCAAATATGTGTCTCATGGCTAGAGAAAAACAAATAAAATTACCCTAACACTAAGTTATGTCATTAGAATACATTTATTCCCTTGCACACTGAAACGTCCACTCCCTGATTAGTTTTTATTTGCCTGTTAAGGTTCCATTATTAAAATAAGAAGTGACAGGCAAAAAATATCTCTGAGAACCTAGAGATGGAATAAAACATAACAACTTTAAGATGGTGCCATAGCTGTTTATTGCCCCCTATATGCCAGAAATGATTGTTTGAAAGCATGAGTATATGTAACTGTGAATAAACAACAAGTAGTTAATTTGCTAGGTGTTTTATATACTTAAAATAATTGTATATATTTATAAAACAATTCCATTTTTTATATTGTATAAATTGTATGTATTTATAAAATAATTCCACAGTACAGAGCTGAGAAAATGAGAAAACTCCAGAAGTTAAGAAAATGTCCCAAGGACACACAAGTAGTATATTGTGAGCCAGAGCCAAGTGTTTCATGGAACAAGAAAATTAGATTTTGAGGCAAAAAAAAAAAAGAAAAGAAAGAAAGTTAGGAATGATACTCTTGGCCACGACTGTGATTCTCCACAGTAAGGTCACAAGGAGCAGTGGGCTAAAACCACTAAATTGTTCTTAGGATCAGCTCTATCAGGAGTGATAACCATAAATACAGATATTATATTTAAACTTAGTTTGGCCACACACTGAAGCTAGTGTGATACTGTGGGTATTTACTTCATTGAAGTCTGCTAGGGTAAAGATTTCCCTAGTACTACCCTGCTCTAACAACTTTTCCTCTGGATTGACTTGTTTATTTGGTCTTAATCTGAAAATGGCACATAGCATAGATCATAGTAATCCTAAACTAACTTTCCTATTTATAGTGCAAGTTATTGACAAAAGCATAGAATAAACAAAACCATGAATCTTTCAATTCCTGTGACATCTACGTTAGTGTTTCTCTGACCACAGAGAATAATGTACATTTATACCAAAGACAACAGAAGATTAGAGACATCAGATTCTCTATGCCTAGGGCTTAGTGAAGTATTAACATTTCTTAAGGCAAGTTCCTTGCATGAGACAGGCTTAGGGGAATTAATATCAACACTCAACTTCTGGTGCATCTACTTTGTGGAATACTTTTGACCACATAGCTAACCATAAATCTGTTATTTTCTAAGCATGTAGTTAGTGTGAAAGAAATATAACATTATATTTTTATCTTAAATGTAATATGTAGAACTTGACTCCATAAAGATAGGAATACTATTAATTTATAAGGAGTCATGGATTTTTCACTTACCTTTGTTTTAGCAGTGATAAAGGGGTATTTTTTAAACCAAGAAAGTAAGGTAAATATATTTTAGCATTATGGCTTATTCAAAGAAAGTCAACTGTTCTATATAATGCATGCAAAATTACATAGAGCAAAGAAGTTTACTTTAATATGGTACATTAAATGACCAGTTATAAATAATTATTATCCACACGTTAAAATAGAATCTTAAATGAATGATAATGTTAACAGCATATACCCTTGACATGATATGATGAAAATTACCTCTGTGGTCTTCCTGCTCATAACCCTTGTCTAACCATGAGAAAAACAGAAAACAGAGCTAAACTTAAGGACATTTATCAAATTCCTGACCAGTACTCCTCAAAATTAGCAAGACTATCAAAACGAGGAAAGTGTGCGCAACTATCACAGTCTAGGGGAACCTAAGGAAATATGAGAACTCAGTGTAATGTGGGATCCTGAATGAGATTCTAGGGCAAAAGAACATTAGGTAAAAACTTGGAAAATCAAATAAAGAATGGGCTTTAGTTAACACTAATGTATAAATATTGATTCATTAGTTGTGACAAATGTACCATATTAATGTGAGATGTTAACAATAAGAGAAGCTAGATGCAGGGTATATGGGAACTTTCTGATATATTCTCGTATCTTCTCTGCAAATCTAAAACTATTCTAAAATTAAAGTTTATTACTTTAAGAAAAACAGAATTATAACCAGTCAACAAATGGTGCATCATTAAAGTTATTTTGTAGAATCATAGTCAGAAAGAACCTTCATGGCTTTAGAGCACAGTTTTCTTAATTTTTAGATAGAGAAGTTTCAGAACATTTCTCAAGGTCACATAGTGCTCTGAGATAATAACTAAGACTTGACATTGTATCTCCCAATGCGAAATCTAGTGCTTATTATCTTAACTGCAGTTACTCATGCACTCAACTTTATTCCATCAACCTTTATTAAGCAACTATTTTGTGGTAAGTCTATCCCAAGCCATTGGGATAAGAAGGCCAATAAATATAGATCATGTACTTAGTGACAAAATAGTTTATGAGATATCCCATAAAGACTTGAAATAATAACTATTATTATAAACTTAATAATTCTTAATCTGCTTTGTTCATTGCTATATTCTTGCACTTATCCTTGGCATGAAATGGGCACTCAATAAATATTGAGAGAAAACAATGAATAAATTACCAACAATAGCTAATCATCATGGAAGCACTTTTAAAATATTTACAAGTATTAACTCATTCAATCCTCATAGAAAAACAAGAGGTACACAACATTTTTATTATCATCATAGCAACAAAATTGGGGTATCTCCATACCATACCAAGTTTCAAACTGTGTTTGAAAACTTGAACACAGTTCAAATTTTCAAATCAAAAAAAATGATTTGAACACAGTCTGGCTCAGTTGCACGTGCTCTTCGTTTATTTTTTATTGCTTAAAATTTAATTGTTTATAAAATAATTTGAATTAGTCTTGATTTATTATGCATGCTGAAAGATAACATATTAAACATTCGACTATAAAAGAAACTAAGCATGGCTCAAGCTAGAGTTAATTATGTATATCCAAACATCCATTATGCTAAGGTATTAAGTTGCTCAAAACCATTTAGAAGGAGGAAAGAAAAGGAAAACCTATAGCTCTCAACCAACCTCTTGTGCAGAATGGTAAGAATAAACCACAGGACTTAACTGCACCTTTTTTTTCCCCCTCAAAAGACGAGAAAGTAGGAAAATGATTCGCTTTTCTTACTGTTTCCCAAAGGCTGATTCAGATTTCTTTGCACCAAAGACTCTGGAACAATATATGTGACAAGGAGTTAAAAATAATGGGTGAAATTCAGTGAGAAGAGAAAGATTTGAGATGGTTGGGGCTTGCATTTCTGTGCCATTTTTCTGCCAGTGCCCTGTAGCAAATATTCATTATTACAACTGTCGCTATTTGGCTTTGGCATCAAAACAGATTGCTAATACGTTGTGGAATGAGGCTTCAGTTGAGAATCAAAGGAAACGTCAGTATTCAAAGTGGCCCATTTGTGACCTTCATCTTGTATAAAAACACTGTAAGTACTTCTTTAAAAAAAAATCCATAAAGCATAAGAAAGGA